CCCTTCTTACCCCCAACTCTTTGTAGTCATTGCAGAGGGCTGAGAACACAGTAAAATTCTGGAGACTGCTTCTGAGGAAGGAGGGTATCTTAATAACATCATGGCCAGATCCATAGCTCTGAGAGAGGTGGGATAATCCACAGGACAGCAAAGGTACTCTAGTCCCCAAGGACTTTGAGAGGTCATGCATTCCATCCCCCTGTCTCCCGATACCCAACACCCCAAGCAGAAGCAAATCATATTCCCTCAAATCCTTGGACGACGACGAGATTCTCAGCTCTCTCCAGACTCTCTGCTTCCCATAATCCCTGCATGTAGGGAAGTTCTTAAAACCTAGACTCTATCCCTCCTGCTGCAGTGTCTGACTTGGTTTCTCCTATCCTGTCCTCCGTGGCTAGAGTTTTCTCTAGCCTTCACTCTGTGATCCCAGCTGTTCCTTAGGTTCTCCCCTCCAGCATTTCTTCCGCGTTGGTTGGTTCATTCTTCACAAAAGGTAACCCCAATGTCTCCTTACTGCAGTCCCTGGCATCGTCTCCCTTGTCGCATCCTAAGCCTCCAAGGCAGAAATGCACCCTTCTTCACCAGATAATTAACAGAATCAAGGGAGAGATCCAGGAGGAAGGGAATGAATTCAGGAGATGGGGGTTGGGGATAGATGCTCAGAACAGATGGAGGACAGAGACTTCCCAAGGAGGGGCAGGGACACCGCCGGTGGGCCTCACCGGTATCAGGGTCTCCCAGGAAGGCGTCCTCATCCTTTCGTCCCCTCAGCGGGGCCGCGGGCGCTGGCTCGTCCTCCGGCAGACGCGGGAAGCTGGTGATGCTCATGTAGTCCACCGGCGAGTAGGCACCCAGGGCGCTCTCCTGGCTGGCTTCGCTCTCTGCCGCCATCCTCGCCCTCACCCCCCAGCAGCGCAGCGCCTGCCGGAAGTGGCTGAGCGGGGGTGGGGGTGCGAGGGCGGAGGGCGGGGCTTGAGTTCCTGGACAGCCGAGAGGGGGCGCCCCCACAGTCTACAGTGTCCTGAGCTGACTCGCCCCCACCTGCTTAGCAGCCAGCAGTGGACCCACAAGCGAGGAGAGCTGAGAAGCAGTGGAGGGTTGGCGTGGGGAGCGTGCTACAAGCGCAACGAAGGTGGCTCTGGGCCACTCACACAACTGGGGCCAAACCTCTTCCTTCTTTCATTCTGAATCCAGCTAGTAATTTACGCAGACCCCAAACTCTTTCTTTGGACCACAGATCCTTTCTAACCACAAATCTCTTTGACCCCAGACCTTGTCTCTGACCCAGAACAAATCTCTGGACCACAAACCTCTTCTTGGACCTTTTAAGATGCTTTTCCAGTGTCAGACTACTTCCATACTAGATCTCTACATTCACATCACCCATAGATCCCTTTGAAAATTCCAGCTCCTGCCTAATCCCTAGACTTTTCCACCTTCAGACCCCTCCTTGGATAACGGATCTCTCTTCTGACCTCAAATCCTATTTAAACCGCAACCTCTTCTGGAACCTCTGATCCATCAGCAGAGGAAAGGCATCCTCAAACTTCAGTGTGTGTTGGGATTTTTGAAAGCAAATTCCCAGATTCCACTTCAGAGATTATGATTCAGTAGACTCCAACGAGGACTTCGGAACCTGAATATTTATTGTCCTTTTTTAAAAAATATGTTTGGGACAGGGTCTACTGGCTCTTACTGCGTAGATCAGATTAGTAGTGATCCTCCTGTTTTTGGCACCGCAAGTGCTGGGATTACAGGTGTGTGCCACCACACCCAGTCTCAATTGCTGTCTCAGCGTGCCCCGGTGGCAGGACCAGCACGCATGCCAGGGATCAAACCCCAGTCCCTCACTTGCCTAAGCAGGCTCTTTAATCCACTGACCTATCTGGCCAGCCTAAGAGTTTATCTTTTAAAATGTGATTCTGGAAAAGACATTTTGAGAAAAAAAATAATGGTGTGGGAAGCTAGGGAAGTGGAATGGGGAGGATAAAAAGCTGAGAATGAGTCTCTTTTGTTTAGTTGCCTGAATTCTGTTTCTGGTAATACTGCTAGCAATATGTGTGATCTTGAATAAGACAGTATCCTTCATCTGTAAAATGGAAACAATAGTGTTCAGTTTAAGGAGTTGTGATAAGGATTAAATAAAGGTTGAAAGGTGCCTCATAAAGGAATTGACACCTATTTAATGCCATCATCATCATTACTTTAATCTTGTGGATTCTCATCCTATCCAAGCCTATCCATCATTTCTACATTTTCAGGAATTCCAGCCACACTACTGCTTGGGCTACTTCTTCAGATCTCTAAGGATATGAGATGTTTTCTCCTTTATGAGGCCTGTAGTCCAGACATCTACCTATCACACAGTCCACAGGAAAATGGAGGAAGCTGGTTAGGCTCTTGAACACACATCTCTCCCTAACACCAGACTCCAGTCTCAAAAGTTTTAGCATTTACTACGGTCATAGCAACTGCAGTACCGACGATAGACATGAGGTGGCGGCAGTGGGTAGGAAATTGTACGGTTTTGGAGAAAGGGTTGAGAAAGGGGACTGGAAGGAAAGAAAGGTCACTCAGCTGCGTGGTGTTGGTGTTGGGTATGTTGACTATCTCTATGTGTATGGGTAGAACTACACGTACCTTCCTCTTCACAGAGAGGATATTATTTCCTCAATGAAGTCCTATTTTGCTCCTATAAAGTCTGATCCTCCCCATGTGACATGACCCTGCTAAATGAAGTCTGTGTCACCTCCGTGATATTCACTCTTTAAATGTAGTTGAAGGCCCCTCAGTGGGATTTGAGTTCTCTTCCTGGGGTCCAATCTCCTTGGCAAAGTCTGTATCTATCTCTTAAGATGAAATCCATGTCCCTTTAGTAGGATCAGTGCCATTCAGTGCCATTTATGTCCCATACCAGGTTTAGAGCCTTTCCATGGGATCTGACAGCCACTGCCCCCAATAGTTCCTTAGTGGAGGCCACATACCTTCAGTGAAGTGTGTGTTCCTCTGATGAGAATGATGTGTATTTGATTAAATATGTCTCACCACTGACAACCATGTCCACTCTGTGTGTGTGTGTGTGTGTGTGTGTGTGTGTGTGTGTTTATGGTGCCAGGGATCCAACTTCAGACCTTGTGCATGCCAGTCAGGTGCTTATGCCACTGAGCTGTCTCCCCGGCCCCACTCTTTGCGTCTTGAGTGGGCCCAGAAAACCTTCCTTTGAGGACTGAGTAGGCTCTGTTTTTTATGTCTGAACATGGGGAGACTTTTCTGCTTACAATGTGCTAGTTTTCTGGTAATCTGAGCAAAAAATGGAGAAACAGACAGGAAGGGAGTCAGGTCTAAGTGGGGTGACAAGTCTTCTGTGGGCACCAGGAGGCAGAGGCTGTCTGTTTCAGACCTCAGAATCACTCTTGGATTTAGACATTAAATGATTCTTCTTCTCTTGACAGTAAATTCACAAGTAGGGTAGGCCTTTATTTTGTTGTTGTTTGTTTTTGAGACAGAATCTTTTTTAAAAATTTATGTATTTTGTACAGGGTCTCACTATGCAGCTTGGACTTGTAGTGACCCTCCTGTTTTCAGCCTCCCCAGGGTAGAGGCATGTGCCACCATATTTAGACTCTGTGGCCTGCTTAGCATGCCCAGGGGCAGAGCTAGAGTGGCATGCAGTCCTGGGGATAGAACCCTGCACTTGCCTAAACATGTGCTTAGTCTGCTGAGCTATCTTGCAGGCTCTGAGACTGAGTCTTGATATGTAGTTCAGGCTGGTCTTAAAATCACAGCGATCTTCCTGCCTCAATCTCCTGAGTGCTGGCATTACGGGCATGTGCCATCACACCTGGCTTAGGTGTGAGTGCAGGTAGGAGACAAGGATCCTGCCAGGCTTCTTTCTGGGTGGAGAGAATAGAGGGAAGCCAGAGGTAACTGAGCTCAAGTAACTGGGTGGAGAGAATTAGAGGGAAGCCAGAGGTAACTGGAAGGTGAGAGGAATCCTTTAGGTAAAGAAACTGGGAAGCAAAGAGAATGTGAATGATTCCTCCTATTTGCATAGACATTGGTATTTTATAAGCCTTAGCTTCAACCCGAGACAGTAAAAAGACGGAAGTTTGCCCCTAACTTGGTTGTTTACTCTCTAACTTTGTAAAAGTTACTTCCTTTTTCTACGTTTATCATTTGTGAAGTGAGTTTTTTGGTTTTGGTTTTGTCATTGTTTTGCAAAGACCTGAGGACTTTTTCTAGTCCTCACTTAAAGAATTTTGTAGTTTAGATTCGCGTGGAGATTTATGGAAGCGAGAACGAAAACATGTCCTCAGAAGTGGGAGAAAAATCCAGCTGGCCTCAGGGCTAGCGGAAAAGGGTGCCCTGTCCAGAGGGCTGTGCCCTCAAGGTCGAGGACTTTTTCCTGAGGACAGGATCGCGTGTTGCTCAGAGAGGAGGGGACTTGGCAGAAAGGCAATCATCTGAAGGACTGTTCTCCATCTGGCTTTCCAACTCGGTAGAATGACAGTCTGGTGCAATCAGACCACGAGAAGACTCCGTGATGGACTTAACTCCTCGGAAGAGCCCTGCCTCTTTTCGCTAGTGCCCTGTCCTAACCCAGCCCCTTATCTGTCACTCCAAGACCTTAGCTCGGTCAGTCCATGGGCCTGCCTCCTGTCCTGTCACATTAAGCCGGCTACTCCCCATCACTCCATGGGCCCACCTCCTCGCCTGTCAGGCCTAGCCCCGCCCCTACGCTGTGATTGCTCGAGCCCACTCCCTCCCCTGACACGCCCGTTCCGCTCCTGCTGCTTTCACTCCAAGACCCCGCCCCTTCCGGCAGGTCGGCTCCGCCCCTACCTTTCGACTTTTCTATACGGTGCTGAGAGTCTCTCGGTTTTCGCTAAGCCTGGGCACGCCCACACCACAGGCCCCGCCCACTACCGGCTGACTAGGACCCGCCCGACCACTAGGTTCCGCCCCTCATATAAAGGCTCCGCCTCGGGGAGGGGGGGTGGTTGGACTGTTTTCCGCTCCCTGGCAGCAGCTGGACGCGCTCAGGCTGCTCTGTGCTCGGAACGCGACACGATGGGGCTTCCTGAGGAGCGGGGCCGGAGCGGCAGCGGGAGCCGGGAGGAGTCTGGAGGCCGGGGCCGGGCGCGGAGTTGGTCTCCGCCGCCCGAGGTCAGCCGCTCGGCTCACGTCCCCTCGCTGCAGCGCTACCGCGAGCTGCACCGGCGCTCTGTGGAGGAGCCGTGGGGTGAGGCTGGGCCCGGCAAGCCCGAGGGGGGGCGCCAGTAAGGAGAGGAGCTGGGCAGGTTCCTCTGGTAAATTGAGGGGTCCGTGAGGAGGTGGAGTTTCCCTGAGATAAGAATTGTGGTGCTCTGAGGAGAAGAAAAAAGAGTGCTGGGAGGAGATGGGGTTCTCTGAGGAGGGTTCCCGGAGCTGAGGGTTCCCCGGTAGTTGGGGCGATCCCCAGGGAGCTAACAGTTCCGTGAGTAGGTGGGGGCTCTGTAGGAGATGTGGGTTTCCAGGCGGAAGAAGTGCATTTCCTAGAGGAGATCGGTTGAGGGATGTTTCGGTGAGAATAGTTCCACGAGAAAAGAAGGGGACTTCTGAGGTGAAAAGAAGGTCTCTGAGGGCCGAGGGGGCACCTGCAGGGAGGAGGCCAGAAGAGAACGTTCTTTGCTGCCCTTTGACACAAGCTCAGCCCGTGCCTCTCGAGACCTCTAACTTGGAAACTTCACAACTCTTGAGTAGGTGTGGGTCCCATCTTGGGATCCCACATCTATTTTTTAGTACATCAGAAATCCCAGTGGAATTACTCAACATAAGACTGAATAAGTCACTTTAAATGTCAGAAATTTAAAAATAATTTTTTCCCAGTTCTGGGGAGCAAATCCAAGGTCTCTTACATTAGGTTCAGCTACACTTCCAGCCAAGGTTTTTCATTTTTGTTTTAATTTGGGCACCAACTGTCAATAACTCCGATTCTAATATATCTCCATGTCTTTTAAGATGTGCCAGGAAAATTTCCTGTCCTTGCCTCGGTAAGAGTACAAAATTGCAGTTGAGGCAACTTGAAGTTTGGTGGTGGGACACGCATAAGCCACAAATCACACACTGAAAATTCAGCTTTAGAGTCTGGCTCTGCCTGTCATTAACTGTGGGTCTTAGGCAAATTTCTGAACTTTTCTGAGTTTCCTTTTCTTCATGTATGATATATGAATAATAATAATACCTGCCTCAGAAGCTAGATAGATCATGTACAGATCTCTATGATGAATGTTATCAGTATGTATATTTAAAATGTATCAATAAAAAAGAAAAAACTTGCCTCATGGATTTGTACAAAGACTAAAGTGGGTAATAAGCAAAGTGTGCATTATAGAATACCTGTTAAACTGCAGACATTCAGAAAATGGTGATTAGTTTGATAACAAAAATAACCTGGATGGAGTAATTACAGGGGAATACAAGTAGAATTGAATCAAGCATAAAATAGTTGATTGCTGCAGGTGGTGTCCGGGTTTGTCATCAGCCTTTTCATTTTTCTATTTTTTCACATCATGAGTTTACCTGTTTTCCAGAGGTGATTTATTGCTACCACAATAACTTCTATATATCTACACACATACCCAGCATTTCACTTAGGCTCTGGTCCCATATTTCAAAGAGCTATTGATCATTTTTGTTCACATACTATGTTATTATTCCATATTCAACATGACTATGACTAAAATTTACCAATTTTCTCTCCCCAACCTGTTCCTAATTTTGTAATTCCTTTTGGGTTCAATGGCACTATCCCAAACTAAAATCTCATCAACCTCTCCTCTGAAAAGATAGCTACATATCTTACCTATTTAAACATTGCTTACCGCTTGCTAAGCACAGTTTCAATCTGATTGGATATGGGAACTGTTATAACCCCCTTTTTACAGAGGAGGAAACTGAAGCTTAGGTATACTAACTTGTACAGTCATAATAGTGGTGGGGTTGGGACGTGAGGCAAAGCACTCAACTACAGACTCTGTACTCCTACTAGTGATACAATTCTTCCCTCACCTCATCCTCACAGGATGCTTTTCTGCAAATTCTGTTAAATATTCCTTCAAACTCTCAGGTTTACCTTTCTTTCATTTTCACAGATATATGAAAGAAGTATCCCCCTAATTCTCTCTCCCTGTCTTATCACCTTCAAACTCTCTAGTAGATTTAGGTAAATAACCCTTAGAATGATAGTCTAGAAGCACTTGCTTTCCTGTGTAGTTGCAGAAATTTTGGATGTTTTCTATGGTTTCAAATTAAATTTGTTTTTCTTTTACAGTTTCTAATCTAGCCCCACTCTACCTCTTTATCCTTATCTTCCATTAGTACTTACCATACCCCTCATTCTGAACAGCTCATTCTTGATATCCTGGATACATAAAAGTCCCTCTCACCTCCCTGCCTCCCTGCTTCATTTTCCTTTTGTTCCTTTCTACAAAAACAAACAAACAGAACAAAAAATAATTCATTATCCTCATCTTTTTCATTTATTTATTATTTTTATTTTGAGGTACTAGATTGAGCCCAACACTTGACAATGCTAGGCAAGCTTCCTACCCTCAGCAACAGGTTTGAAACCAGGTCCTTTGTACTAGGTTACATCCCCAGCCCTTTTTTTTTTTTTTTTTTTTTTTTGGGTGGAACCAGGGATCAAACTCAGGCCCTTGCACTTGCCAGGGAAGCACTTATTCTACTAAGCCATCTCCCTGGCCCCTTCCAGCCCTTTTTATTCTGAGACAGGGTCTCCAACTTGCCCAGGCTGGGCTCAAACTTGTGATTCTCCTGCCTCAGCTTTTCAAAGTGCTAAGTGCTGAGATTACAGATTTGTGCCACATTGCTCAGTGAGTAAGCATATTATTAAGTGTCTGTATTCTTACTTTAGGCATATATTCCTTTGGAGAGGTTTCTGTGCTTCCTGTGCTTGTTTTCTCTATAAAATTAGAGTAATATGTATGTATAGGACCATAATATACTGTCATAAAGGTTAACAAAATGTCTAGTCCTGATACATGAATGGCATTCACTAAATGCCGGTTCCCATTGGCTTTTTCTTTAATGGCTATTCCATATCCTATTATATTTCTCCTTTATTACTAGTTTTCATCAACTTATCTAGCATTGTGATGTCTTGGGTTCAACTTTTGAGCTTTTAGTTGTTTCTAGGTTTTTAAAAAATATTATTAACAGTGTTGCTATAAACATCTTTTCAATAATCACCTGGTTCTTTTGGAGTATATTCCCCAAGGTTGAGTTAGCAGATAAATGGTTTAAAATAATTTAAAATCCTGTCAAGCATCACCTTCTATCCAGTAAGATTGTGTGATTTCTTGCAATGCCATTATTGTATAGGTATATCTATACACCCAGGACCACCAAACCATTGGGTTCAATAATTTTTGTTTTATCTTTGTTAGTTTTATTAGTATAAATAGCACTGTAGAATTGATTTAGTTTGGGTTTCTGTAATAAATTGGAAGGTTTTATGCCCTGTGATTTAGCTTTAAATTCTTAAATTATATTCAGAACTACTTCATGTGTTAGTCTTCCCTCTCCATGTAGGTTGCATAAGTTTTCTTTTGTTTGTTCATTTGTTTTTGAGGCTGGATTTCACAGTGTCACCCAAGCTGGTCTTGAACTACCTTAGCTTTCTGAGTAGCTGGGAGTATCATGTAGCACCGTGTGTAGCCTGTAGTTGTATAAATTCTAAATCATGGAGCCAGGAATAAACTTTTTAGCCTATATGATTTCGTTTCTTATAAAACAAGGGGGTGATAATCTATAAGATTTCATCCCTTGTTTTTGTTCTAAGTGTCTCTTTCCCCTTTAAGTCCTAAATCGATACTCATCCAAAATTTTTTGCCTTTCTTGTTTTGTTTGTTGAGTACATTTTCTCCAGAGTAATGAGTCAGATTTTTAAGGATGTAAATCAGATTATGAAGCTCTCTTGTGTAAAGTCTTTTAAGGGCTTTCCATGACCTTGGGATAAATATCAGATTCCTTACCATGCACAGAATAATTACATGATCTACTCAGTTATGTATACGTCCCAGTCTATGGCAGTACCATCCTGAACTCACCCGATCTCATCTGTATACATCCCAGCATCAGTTCTTGTTTTCTTTATCCTCAGTGTTTTAGCTTCAAGGAGTTTCTCTTAAAGTAAGTCCTGAGTCCCTCACATCCCATATTTGTGCTCCCTCCTTTGGTGAGGAACTAGAGAAAAATTCATCTTTTGGTTTTTATCAAAAATATTTTGGGGGGCCAGGGAGATGGCTCAGTAGAACAAGCGTTTGCCTGGCAAGTGCAAGGGCCTGAGTTCAATTCCCAATTCTGCAACAAAAAAAGAAAAAAAAATTCCTTGGGTCAGCGAGATAGCTCAGCGGATTGAAGTGCCTGCTTAGGCAAGATTAGGCAAGCGCTGGGACTGTGGTTCGATTCCTGGCACCACATGCCATACCATGCCCTCAGGGCAGGCTGAGTGGGCCACAGAAAAAATATTCCTCATCAAAGTTCAGATTTTGTTTTGAGACAGGGTCTTGCTCTGTAATTCAGACTGACTTTGAACTCATGACAATCCTGCCTCAGCCTCTTGAGTGCTGGGATTACAGGTGTGTACACCCTGCCCTGCTAAAAGTTTAAATCTTGACTTAAATTGTATAACCTGAGGCAAATTAGTTGACCCCTCTGAGTCTTATTTTCAGATTTATAAAATGAGAGTGAACTGGATACATGCCTCTAATCCAAGCACTCCAAGAGGCTGAGGCAGGAGGATTGGCATGAGTTTAAAGCCAGCCTGGGCTGCATGGTGAGTTCAAGGCTAGCCTGAACTACACAGTGAGATTATGTCTGAAAAAACAAACACAATAAAAATGAGTGTGAAGTAATGCTTCCTTCTTAGGGTCATGATAAGGATTAAATAAAATTCTAAACTAGGCATGGTGATACCCCTCTGTAATCCCAGCACTCAGGAGGCTGTGACAGGAGGATTGTTGCAAGTTGAAGACCAGCCTGCAAGGGAGCTCAAGGCCAGCCTGAACTACCTAGCGAGACCCTGTCTCAAAATGATGGGGGAAAAAAGATTGTAGATATAAAGAGTTTAAAGTAACATCTAGTATAATACACTTTGTGCAAGCTGTAGTAGAAGGTGATGCTTAATAAATAATTGCTAAGAGAGAATGAACAATTTGAGAGAAGCAAGAGATAATCATGGAAGGTTCAGTGAGAAAACAATTTCTTCTTTTCACTGTTTCATTAAAAATTTTACTGGCATTATACCTAATATCACAAAAGAAAAAAATGTATTGAACACTTACTATGCAAAATGGATAAACAGTTTAAAGGCCAGGGAAGCATTTGATCACGATTCAGCCCTTAGGAATGAAGGTAGGTTAGGAGAATAGTAGGTAATAATATTAGACAGGTAAGGAAGGCTGAAACTGGAGGATAAAATGTTCAAGGCCAGATCGGGAGTCCTAAGACAATAAAGTTGTGACTTGGTCCCATGCATAGATCCCTGAAAAGCCTAGAAATACCTGGGTTTTTCTTCTTGTTTCAGAGTTTTGGGGTGATATTGCCAAGGAATTTTACTGGAAGACCCCATGCCCTGGCCCGTTCCTGAAGTATAACTTTGATGTGACTAAAGGGAAAATCTTCATTGAGTGGATGAAAGGAGCAACTACCAATATCTGCTACAATGTGCTGGATCGAAATGTCCATGAGAAGAAACTTGGAGATAAAGTTGCTTTTTACTGGTAAAAATATTTTTATTTTGTGGAAGATGAAAACAGTCACATTTATATAGTGTTTCACAGTTCATGAATTACTGTAAAGTCTATTAACATTTGGTGCTTATAACAATTCAGAGTGAGCAAAGTATCATAAAAGTACTTCAAGGAAGTTAAATTATTTCCGTCAAGTCTCATAATTAGCTAGGTGTGGTAGCACACACCTATAATCCCAGCTCTCTGGAAGGCTGAAACTGGAGGATAAAAAGTTCAAGGCCAAACTGGGCAATTTAGCAAGGACTTGTTTCAGAATAAAAGAAAAAGGGCTGGAGATGTAGCTGAGTGGTAAAGCACTTGCCTACAGTGCTGACTGGGGTTTAATCCCAAGTACTGAAAAAAATCGTAAATTGTATCTAACAAAATGAATTTAAATCCTGCCTTCTAGTCTAGCGTTTTTGGTTTATGGTTGCAGAAGAAGAACTGGGGATGGTAAATGGAAGAGAACAGGGCTGAATAGCTTTCTTTCCCATTCTTGCTTTGGGAAGAAAACATGGATATTGGGTTTTTCACCCCCTCCTCTCACTGTTATCATTACCTTTTACTGGGCTATGTGCCAGATATTATGCTTAAGTGCTTAACAAATATTATCTCATTCAGTACAACTGTGATAGTTCTATTCTTTTCTTCAATTTACATATATGGAAATGGAAATTCTGAAAAATTCAATGACTTTTGAAGTCAAACACTTAACAAGAAGCAGGACTGAGACTCAAACCTGGGCAATATAACAGAGCTTAAATTCTTGACTATGATACTATGTATGTACTACTCTAACTCATTTAGTTGCACTTTTACAGTTGTAGAACTTAAGCAAAGCAATGTTTCACATAGTGAATAAAGTTGCAAAGTGACAGAACCAAAATTCAAACCCAAGTCTGCTTGTGCCACTACACAATACATCCTCCCCAGCTACTCAGACCTGTAGGAACTAATACTTCCTTTCCCTAGCAACTTACCGCTCTAGGAAGTACAACTGTACGGAACCTAAAGTCAGTGAGGTTCTAGCAATTGGGGTATTGCTTCTGCCACCACCCAGGAGCTCTGCAAACCGACCTATATTTTAAAACTAGCTAATAAGAATAGGTTGGATACTTCATGGAAAAACTAAGTTTCCCAGTTTGTGTGGTACACTGAGAAGAGCACTAATTTGAAAAACAAGACGTTTGGGTTCTCCTGCTAATTCTGCCATTAACTTGCCCTGTAACCACAGGCAAGATGTTTTACTGCCTCAGAATTTTCCTCTTTCATTAAGTGGGAATAGTAATTCTACTTTTATCGTTTCCATTAGGTTGTTATAAAAAAGGTTAATAGCTTTCTCTTTACATTAGGTTGTCAAAAAAAATCCAGTGGTCCTATAAAAGCATTTATTTATTTGTCTAGGAACACTGTAACACTGTACTGTAAAAGTTGTTCTTTCCTTTCCCCTCCTTCTTTTTTTTTTTTTTTTTTCAGACAAGATTTTGCTATGTAGTTCAGGCTAGCCTTGAATTCACTATGTACCCTAGGCTGGCTTTGAACTCAGGGCAATTATCTTGCCTCAACCTTCTGAGTGCTGGGATTATAAATGCATGCCAACATGCCCATCTTTTTCTTCTTTTTAAGACAGGGACTTGCTCGATAGTCAAGTTGCCCACAAGCTCACAATCCTCCTGCTTCAGCCTCCCAAGTGCTGAGATTATAGGCACAGCCACCAAGCCTGGCACACAAAAGGCTGATTACCATATTGCTATTGCTTGTTTAGGGATCACTTGTCACTAAAACTCTCTATTATGTCATTTTTTTGGTTTCTGTACTAGGACTTATGCTTGAGCTCTAGCCAGCACTTGGGCCCATCTCTTAGGCTCCTTAAGGTTCAGAAAACTTTTAAAAATCTACAAAGGAAATGAATTTGTTAGAATTTGTTAACTGGTTTGAAAGAACTCTAGTGCCCAATGATAGACAGAAATCACAGGCTACATTTGTTTAATCACTGGAAATTGCTCCAAAACTCCTGAAGCCTTTCTTTTGTGAGACACTAGTTCCCCTACCTTCTTTTCCTAAACAGACTCTAAAGGAGCCTTTCTTTCCTAAAATGTAAAATGAAAAGTGTCAGTTAAATCAGTGTTTTCCAACGCATGCTCCTGGAACCACTAATGACATTCTCTTTCTGTGATGCTGAGAATTGAACCCAGCACCTCATGCATATTAGGCAAGCATTGTACTGTTGAGCCCTTTTTATTTTTTATTTTGAGACAAGCTCTTCCAAAATTCCCCAGGCAGGCCTTGAACTTGTGATCCTTCTGCCTCAACCTCCCAGAGTGCTGGGGTTATAGGTGTGTGTCACCATACCTTCTCTCTTTGCCTTATTTTTATTTTTGTACTATTTACCTTTATCCTATATTCACTATTTTCTAAACTTTTCTATCATGTCTTTTATTTTATTAAGTCCCCCCATAGTCCTCTCTGTTAAGATCTGCCTTCTTTCTGCTATGATTTTTATGGTTTTAAAAAATGACATTTTCCCCAATGATTTGCTGCAATTGATGTACTTCTATAGAGTTAGCTCACCTTCCTTCTTCTCCCTCCTGCTCCTTCTCCCTCATTTTCCACTGCTGCCTTTTCCTCCTCTTTCTTTTCCTCTTGCTCCTAATCCATTCTTTCTCCCAGTACTAAGGAGTGAACAGAGTGGTACTCCACCAACAAGCAAGAGTTGCATTCCTAGCTCTTTTAAAAATTTTCTTATGTTCAGACAATATTGTTTATTTTCCCCAGCTGACCTTGAATTTGTAATCCTCTTGTCTCCTTCATTCTCCAGAAAAGCTGAGATTATAAATATACATAAATACACATGACTAGAGCTTTCTTTCCTTAGGGTTTTCTTCTCAATTTCAACTGTCATTTAGATAGCTGTAGTCGGTAGATTAAAAGATTAGCACGCGCGCGCGCACACACACACACACACACAATTCTCTTAGCTTGGCAGCATAACTGCCTTTCTGGCAAGTGCAAGGTCTGAGTTTGATCCCTGGTACTGGTACTGCTTGCCTTGCCATTGTGTGTGTGTGTGTGTGTGTGTGTGTGTGTGTGTGTGTGTATGAGTCTTTTATTTATTTGGTACAGGGTCTTGCTACACAGCTCGGACTCATAGTGATTCTTCTGTTTCAGCCTCCCCCCTGCTGTGATTACAGGTGTGTGCCACCACACCCAGTTTTGGTGGCTGCATGGCTCACCTGGGGTTCTGGGGCCAGCCCAGAATGCAGTACTTCGCATTGAACCCAAGTCCTTGCATTTACCAGGCAAACACTTAGTTCACTGAGCTATCTCTGCAGCGTGTGTGTGTGTGTGTGTGTGTGTGTGTGTGTGTGTTTTGTATTGGCTTCACACTCAGCACCTTTGTCTCTCAAGGGCACACTGCCTGGCCTCCCAGACCTTCTGAACTATGGATGGAAGCCTTACTGACCTCACAACTCTTACATTCTGCTTGCACCTAAAATCAGAACCATGTGAATGATGACCCCTGGAGCAGTATCTGGGATTCCCTCTCTCTAGGCTGTAGGGGTCCAGGGCCTGGAATGCTGAGCATGCTGAATCCAATTCCCAGGAACAAATTCTCTAGGCTGCTACCATCCTGGAAGATGGTGCTCTGGGGTTTTCTTCTCCAAATAGCCTTTTACTTTTGCAATTTTGAGGCTGCAAAGGGTAGACTCCTGCTTGTGAGGCCCTCAGGCAGTCTTTTCTGTTCTCCTGTTCCTTTTCAGCAATCAAGATCTCCTTTGCTCTATTTTAGCAATTCAAAGCTTTACTGGAGTTTCCTTTCTGACCAAACTCATACCATTTTAAAACGTTCTGCTGAGTTCTTTGCTCTCTATTTTCAACGTAGATGTGGTTAAATGCCTCAATATTCAAATACCTTAAATTTCTCCTATAAGATTAGTTAGCCTGTTGCCCTTAATCTCAGTCTCAGGCAAATTTTCTGGACTTGAGTACAGTGCAGACAAACTTTCTTCCCAACCATAATGCACATGCTCTGGAGTTCAGGAGCCAGTGCAGTTCTTCTTCCCAGCAGAAATCTCCTGAGCCTGTTCTTTACTGGATTATTGGTGTTCTGACTAGCATCTCCCATACAGTAGCCTAAGGCATTTTAGTGCTACTGTTTTGGCTGGCATCTCCAAACCTTTATAAAGTCTTCCCACAAGTCATTCCCAAAGGCTCTTGTGCCACACAGTTACATATAGTCACAGCATTGACTTCACTTCTGGTATCAAATTCTGTCTTAGTTACTTTTCTTATTGTTGAGATAAAATACCTGATATCCAAAAGTAAAGGTGAAAAGGTTTATTTAATTCACAGTTTATAGAGGTTTTAGCTAGCTCCAAGGCAGGGTGGCACATGACAAAGGAGCAATAGTTCAAGGTTGTGGAAGACAGCAAAAACAGAGAGAGTGAGAGAGTGAGTGAGAGCAACAGAGAGAGAGAGAGAGAGAGAGAGAGAGAGAGAGAGAGAGAGAGAGCTCTTTCTGTCCCTTTTATTGTATCCAGTCTACTGGGATTAGAGCAGTGCCAGTCTAATCAGTGCACTGATCCAGCAATCACCCACCCTTAACCTCAGCACCTTTAATCCCAGCATTGCACTAAGAATCAATCACATACCCTAGATACAGCTACCTCTAAAATGCCCTATAACCACATGAGGTTTTGGGGGGGACATCTAGACATAAACCTTAATCTCAGTCTTAGACAAAGACTCTGGACGTGGGTAAAATGCAGACAAATAGTAATAATATATTTAGAATTTTAAGCAACTATTAGAGTCTGTCTAGGTCAATTTTTCTTTATAGATTGATAGGTTAAGGACCAGAGATGGTAAGTGATTTGCCTAAAGTTTATGTATATTTTGCAGACAGAACTGAGACTATTCTCAGATTTTCTTACACCTTGTCAGTTGTTCTTTTTCTCTATGTGGCAGCACTCATCCTGGTAGCCAACACT